GAGCCATCGCAGGTCAAGTAGGAAACCGGCGTGACTCCAGAAATTGTCCGACCAATCACGAAACCCAGGCTACAGGCGCGAAAGATCGGTGTGAGAAGAATACAGAGAAAATCCTGTATCTTAACTCGAAGTCCTGAAAAAGACTTGGCTTTGGCTAGATATCTGAAAAAGAGCGCATCCAAGACCAGTTGATACTAACAACGCATGATCCCCAGGAAAAGTGCGATGGTCAATGATGAATCGACCTCAAATGAGAAAGATGTTATTTCTATTCGCGACACCACTGACGACAGCGAGGAAGACATAGAGGAAAAGGTCGAATCATTCAAGCAGGGTGATTTGTTGTGGTGAGATTTCGAGGCTTCCGATCCATCGCGCACTATATCGGAAAAAATTCTAGAAGTTTCTGGTACGGGCGACGCAGAAACCGTAGAGATGAAAACAAGATTTTTGAGACGAGTGGATATGAGAACAACCGATGTCATGGCATTTTCATACCCGTGTAAAGAAGACGTCGCTTTGCATCAAAAAGATGACATAGCAATGAAGCTTCCTGCGACGATGCGCGTAGGTGGCACTACCAGGTGTGCAGAAAAACTAACTTTCGCAGTGGATATATCCCCATATGATCCTCTGGGAACTCCAGTGATTGAATTTGAATAATTTCTTTGAGTTTGTAAACTTGTTCGTCATTTTTTCTTTTACTTCTCAACTTGACTGGTCCAAGCTACCCCGCCCTCGGGGCATGTTGTAACGAATTATATGTGCGCATTCGAGGTCCAATTTCTTGCAGACGCAATGCGTTGAGGGGCACTATTTGTTACTGTTAGGTGAGGCAAGAACATAAGTACGTACAGCTCCAAAGATGTTGTAAAGAGGTACATGGTTGCAGAAATAATAACAAATAAGTAATCAGATGTTCCAACTAACCCCGGTCTCCCCGACTGTGATTTTTGCAGTCGATACAATAATCTGTGCAATTTAGGTTGTTTTTGGCACACGTGAATAAATTATTTTGACACCCATTTTTCTTACACGTGCAGTTTGCCAATTCAAGAACTGATTTGGGGAAGTAGATCTATCAATTCACCCCGCAAAACACCATCATCAAGAACCAGTTGGCCTTGGTTCTAGCGTAAATATATACTACTATAGGTTCTAGGCAACAATGATGAAGTCCTGTCTGGTAATTTGCCCTCAGAACATGCTTCTTCAGTGAATCATTGTTGGTTTGAAGAGTATAATGCATATGTTTGTCAGTTTTGAAAAGACTTGCCTTGGTATCATTTACATTCTTCATATCCTCTCCTATACTTATACAGTAATGATAACTAAAAAGATTCAATAATGATTCACTGAAGAAGCATGTTGGCCCGGCGATGTGGCGCATCGTGCTAAGCGTTAGGAATACGCTCGCCACCGCATCTCTGATTACCCTTCGTGGGCTCGCAGGTTCGAATCCCATGCGGGGATGATCATGTGCGAGAGGATTGCTGAACTCCTCGCCGCCGTAGGGTGCAGTATGTTCCCCAGCTTTTCTCTTTAGGGGGGGTGTTTCAAAATTTAGAGGGTGGTAAATAATTTGCTATTAGAGATAAAACTAGGCTATTTGCATTTTTAAAAAATGGTATGTATTTAAGAAACGATGTACATGGGAGGCCCCCAAGTTGATTGACGGCGAGCCAAAATCCACAGCAGAATAAAATTGTAGGGCCAGAAAAGGGGAGCGAGGAAAAGTGCGGGACGACATGGCTGGGGTTCAGGGCGCGCTTAAGCGCCCTTAGAAAATTTTGAGAAAGAGGCGCCAAAATAGGCTCTAAGCTTGATTTTAGATACACCTAGCATCGCAGTTTGTTATGTAATAAAATCAATAATTATAATATTTAGCTGATAGAATTCTCGGGGAATAGATAACAAGCACGGCTTTCAACCGTAAATATACTACTACGTTTCAACAAGTAATTTGCAACTGATAGTGACTAATGGAGTTACTTGCTCATCTGGCATTGTATGAATAGTTACTTATGGCTTGTTTTGTTACACATTTCTAATTTTTTTGAACATGTTTGTTTGACCTTTGTATGAATTAAATTTTGAAATACGCTCGTCAACTGATCATGATGTCGCATAATGTTGTATTCCTTCAGAACTGAAATATTTTGTAAGGAGACAAATCGCTGAAGTTTGATTCTTTTCAATAAAGAAATAAAAACGCTGTCATTCATCTAAAAAACGTCTGTTTTCAGTTCCTAGTTTTCGTTTTGTGACAGCTTTAAGCTTTCTTAATATATGGCTGATATCTAAAATACTGCAGTGTGTAATCATAATACCCATACCTATACATAAGATACCGGAATAATTCAATTGTTACGAAATAAACGTGCTTAAACTGTGATAATGATGTAACAATAGACGGTATCTAAAATTCAAAAGGTACCACATGAAGGGTTGAACTATTTCACTCAAGTTCGGCGGGCCATTTTAAATCGTCACGCGGGCCGTAATTGGCCCGCAGACTGCGGTTTAGAACCCCTCAGTGTTGAATCGCACCTCAAAATTAGGGGGGGGGGGGGGGGTGTTTGAAATTTTAGGGGGGGGGGGGGTGGTCACCCCCTATAGGAGGGGGGGGTGTAGGGAAATCACTGGTAGGGTGGTTCACGTAACCGCTGGTCGGTTACGGCTTCCTCTACCATCATGTCCATGCTTCCGAAAACAAATAACTGCCTAACTAATCCCATAGAGAGAGAGAGAGAGATTTGTACGAGAGGCCGTGGTTCGCCATATGATTAGGCCGTCTTATCGGCTTTCCTCTCCCCCGGGATAAATATGTAAAATCCTATCCTATCCTACAGTAGTCTTTCAACTTGATCGGGGACTCCAATGCGTGGTCGCATCAGGATTCAGGAATAATGTGCTGTTGATAATGCGCCCTCATTGTTAACAATCTGCCATGTCTGTTGCGAGTTGCGACCTCACTGTTCGTGGTGCGCCGATAGCTACGAGACTTTTAGGCTAGCAACTCCTCTACTGCATCTCTGAGAATCAAAGCGACAGGTGATCGTAAATTTCGTAAATAACGACAGAACGACGATATGTAATAGTCGTTTAAAGACAGAAAGAAAGGCTCATGTTTCAGTTTCCATTGTGGAGATTGCCGATTGATACGATGCCTTCTCCAAAACCCTATTCCTATATTCAGTTACCGGTACCGGTATACCGGTACGTACTGGTTATAGGTAAGTTAACTGTAATTCTGGTTGTCAATTGACCGTCAAATTCTGCTTCACTTCCTCAATTTAAAATTGAAATTGTACTGACGCTTAATGCATTACATAATTTGTTATAGTTTCAATATACTGATATAGACTGTTCACTATTTTGTACTATTCTCTTTCTGTCTTTGCGTATTGATAGTTGCCAATGACTCTGAGATCTGATTGATTCTGCTTTGGACGAATTCACTTAAAAGGTGAAGTATCCTGGATCATGGTATACTGGTATAAAAGACTGACTGTTAATTAAGAGATATGTGCTATTGATTTTGTGAAAAATCACTCCATGACAAATAAATTTTTTTCAATTTATATGCTTTCAATTAAAAAAAAAAGGTATTTATTCCAGTACATTTAAATTGTATATAGCCTATTTGTATATATATATATATATTATAATATTGTTAACTGCTTGACAATTGTTACTTGTCGATTTCAATCGGTAAGTATGTTGATAGGTATTTGTCTGTCTGTTAGATGCACGTGTGTGGTAGGTGTATTGTTTTGATGATCAATTTGAACAATAAGGTGTCAGAAGACCATAGTCTGATAGTTGATCTAAAAACGGATCTTAATTTTATGTTCAGATGTTGGTATGTAAAGCCTATAATAAGTACCCAATTTCCCGGCGAATAAGTCTACCTGGCAGCCCGATAAATATTGAAATAGGACGAGGCCCGTTTTAAAGCCTGAAAAATGGGTTTCTGCATATAACCTGCCAATAAGTCGGGGTAGTAAAATCTGTAGTAAAACCGTCAACATCGGTATCTCAAATTACCATGCAGAGACATTTGAGCATTCGCCGCGTCCGTGCATTGGTTAAATTAGCCTATAATAATGTTTTCTTGTAACGTAATATTCAATCCATAACAACTACGGGAATTCGAACTGTCTTTAAATTTTAATCTAGTTGTGTTCAACTCGAGATTGCGCCCACCATAAAAGAACATTACCTAATACATAATAAGGCGACACCAAAAAAATGAAAATTACTATACTCGCCTAATAAGACGACCCCCCCCAAAATCAGGCCAAAAATTTGGGTCTAGAAAAGCGAATTATTCGCCGGGAAATACAGTATCTGTTGAGAGTAAGCATTAAATTTATTAAAGATACTAATCACTAGTGCTTTTCTAGATCTTTTATAACTCTCATGATGTTATTGAAGCATTTTTCTCATGAGCTTGTGAGTTGTGATAGCCATATATCTGTATTATCATCTTATATTGCAGAATTGATTGCTTTATTGATCAAATTCTCCAATTAGTATGCTAAATTGATTTTAATGATTTTCTCTACTTTATGAACATTGATGTCTGTCTTTATCCCATTGTTTCAAATTATGGAGTGGTGCAGTTCATTTAGGCTAAATCTAAAATTAGAATGCATGATGATCAATAGCGAAAAATTGATTTTTTGACAAGATTGTGTGATATTACTAAATTCATTCATGGTATTTAATGGGCTTGAATGCTTTTAAGCATATACCATGTAATGTATTACAAGTGTAAACAAAACTGACAGTGCTGCAGTGTGAGAAGTGTGTCTTTGAGACAAAAAATATGTTTCATGATGTAATATTTCACGAGGTAGACTTTATTAGTGTAACTAGGAATGAATAACTTTTCCAGTATGTGTCTGTAAGTAAAATTAACGATGAAAATATGTGGTCCTTAATATGTAATGTTACAATGGAGCAATTGAATAGACACTTTGAAAATGACCTACTCCTATTTTTTTTTTAGTTCTTAGCTTTGTAGAATAATTCTATTGATTATGGGTTCATATATGGAAGGTCCACTAAGCAAGTGGACAAATGTAATGAAAGGATGGCAATATCGTTGGTTTGTATTAGATGACAATGCTGGTCTGCTTTCTTATTACACGTCGCGTGAAAAGATGATGCGAGGATCAAGAAGAGGTTGTGTTCGACTATGTTCAGCTATTATTGGTATTGATGACGAGGATGATTCAACTTTTACAATCACTGTTGATCAAAAAATTTTTCATTTTCAAGCTAGAGATAGAGAAGAGAGAGAACAGTGGGTATCTTCGTTGGAGGATACAATCACCAGACACAGTAAAAGACTTCATGATGTGCAGTCATCTTCTGGTGCTTTAGAAGATTTTGATAAAAAGCTTGCAGAGGCGGATGCTTACATGAAAATATTAATTAAAAAAGCAAAAGCTTTTGAAAGAAAATTAAATATGACTGAAAACCCGGAGGAAAGACAGAAATATGAAGGAATGCAGATTACCGCCATGGAACTTGTGGAATCTGTAAAACAGTCGATTGTAATGTTGCAAATAGCGAAAAATGCAATTGTTCCTGCTGATGAAACTCATATAGAAGCTCCTGTATCTTCAAAGGAAACTGCTCACACAGTGCAATTTAACACCACTGGTCCTCAAGTCTCTGCTGGCACTGACCTACCAATAGAAGATACAGCCGTAGTCAATAATGGTCAACAAAGTTCTGTGGAAGCAATTGTAAATGGGATTCATGATATTACTGAAAAAGATAGCAATGAAGGTATTCAGCCACCTTCCATCGAAAATCTTACCATTGACTCATCACCTTCACCTGCATCTGGCACACCCGAGGCTGTTGTACAAGAGTTGGGAGCTGCATCAATCAGCCAAGAATTGCCTGATCTTCTTAGTAAAGAAACAAAGATACAAGAACGAAGTTTTAATCATACCGATGAAAGACCTGCTGCTAGTATATACACAGGTCATGATTTTCCAACAAAATCTTATTCTAGTAGTGACGAAGAAGATGATGAATTCTATGATGCAGATGAGAGAGTAGGTGAAAGTGACGAGGAATCTCTAAATAAACCTCCCATGCCTATCAGACATGATCGATCTGAACCTGTGCTACACCAGAGCAATGAAGATCTGGTTCAAAATGATGTAAAAAACATAGAATCATTGGATGATATTTACATGCAAGAAGATGACCATGCTGCAAAGGACGGGGAATCAGTGGAAGAACACAAAAGTGTTATCATGCATTTATTGTCACAAGTTAAGCTGGGAATGGATCTCACTAAAGTAGTGTTGCCAACATTTATTCTAGAAAGGAGGTCACTTCTAGAGATGTATGCAGATTTTTTTGCCCATCCTGATCTTTTTGTTGGTATTACAGAAGGCCAAACACCGGCTGATCGAATGGTACGCTGTTTGCGATGGTATATGAGTTCTTTCCATGCAGGACGAAAAGGTTCCGTAGCAAAAAAGCCGTACAATCCAATATTAGGTGAATCATTTCACTGCTTTTATAATTTACCTGATATGCCTCCAGATGAGTATAAAGTATCTGATGGTCCAGTACCTTGGGCACATCGTAACAATGTATCATTCACTGCTGAGCAGGTTTCTCACCATCCACCGATATCAGGATTTTATGCTGAACATGTGAACAAACGCATACAGTTTAATGCCCACATATGGACAAAATCAAAGTTTCTTGGTTTATCAATAGGTGTACATAACTTGGGACAAGGTTGTGTGAGACTTCTTGAAAGGGAAGAAGAATATATAATGAACTTTCCGAATGGATATGGAAGATCAATTCTCACTGTTCCTTGGGTAGAGCTCGGAGGTGATTGCAACATAACCTGCGAGCAGACGGGATATACTGCTAATATTACATTTCACACAAAACCATTTTATGGCGGAAAAGTTCATAAAATCTCTGCAGAAGTTTTAGCGCCGAACGAGAAAAAACCAATCATCACTATTGATGGTGAATGGAATGGGATTATGTACATGAAAACTGGTAAAGGCAAAAACGAATGCTTCATAGATACAAAGAAAATGCCTACAGTTACAAAAGTTGTGAAAAAAATTGAACATCAAGAAAACATGGAGTCTCGTAAACTTTGGAAAGATGTCACTCACAACTTAAAAACAAATAATATTGATGAGGCAACTGCCGGCAAAAGAAAATTAGAAGAAAAACAAAGGCAAGATGCTAAATATAGGCTGGAAAATAATATAAAATATGATACTATCAATTTTAAAGAAGATGAAAGTGGAAACTGGATTTATAAATACCCACTCATCAATAGAATATAATTTTACTGCATGTTGCAGCTGTTTTTATTGTATTTCATACCTTTATTATCAATTTAGTGATATTTATCACTTGTCTAGTGGACTGCAAACAGTCGCTGAATTCATTCTAAAGCAATGGGCTCGAGTCATTTAAATTTCATCCTATGTGGGAAAATGAAAAGTGCCATAGCAAACAATTTTTAACATCAGGTCTTTCAGAATGTAATCTATTCACAAAAATTTAATTTTTATATTATCAAAAGTAAGGATAAATTGGTAAATAACTGAACATTGCGATACTCATTCTGACAGGAATTACTAGAAATGTGCAAATTTAGGCATTGAGTGACCACGTTTACCATAATGCCTAATGTTAAAAATTATTTGTTTATGCCTGTTTTTATATTTCAACTTGGAATGGATTTTAAATAACCGAGGTCTGTTGATTGCTTTGTCGCTAACCATATTTGACTTTATTTTTAATTTTTAAAATTTTTCCCAAACATGCATGTTGATTCTTTTCTGCCCGCAGCACTACCCATGGATGATAATTGTATTTCCGTCTATGGTTCACATTTTACCAATCTTAGCTTGATATGAAAAACCCTAATTGAAAATATTTCAAAATCAAATCAGATGGATAAACATAGGCTACTAATGGATTTTTTGTTGAGAGGTTTGTAATCTACAATTCATTATCATTCGGACCTCCTCTTGTCTCTTATAATTTCTAAAATGCCATGACACAGTGTTATACTACTGCTGCTGGGGTAGTTTCTGAACAATGCCAAAGTTCGTCATCAAGTTGGGATTGATGAACTGATGACCTTCCTAGTGGGTTCACTTGAAGTGGTTTATGGTGCTGCTGATTTTCATTCTGTACAATGGTGGTTGTACCAAGTACCAACGTGTAGTTCTCTCTGAATTTTATGGGAAATTATCAGTAAATTCAAAAGTTGGCATTGGTGTAATTCGAATCGAAAAACATTACTGTTTTTTTTCTTATTTTGCTGATATACTGCAACATACATGGCTTGGTTGAGTAATTTTGTTAGGATATAATCTCAAAAGTATTAATTTCAGTCAATACCAATTAATTTGATATAACATAATTCATCAAAAAACTTATATTCAACTTTTAATGCGTAGAGTTAGTTTTAGTATGTGATAGAACATTTTGATTAATCACCGAACACTGAATAAAATATATTCTAAATATAACTTATAAAACTGAATTATTCAAACATATTATAGTCTTCAGATATGTCTGCATCTTTTGTGTTTTATTTTATTGTGTTATTGCTTTATTACGATTTGACAAATATTTTATATTGGCCTATGAGTTAGTTACCTGTTAGTACTGATCCTTTTTCCATTGAATTTAACTTTAAACTTGATCTAATATGTACATTTAGTTCAATTGTTGGAATTCAGCTATTATTAGACGACATATGTATATTTCCAGTATTGGGTGAACTTATTCAAAATAAATATTTTCTATTGCTGAAACTGGAAGCAACGCAGTTTTATTAGAGCTGTTACTGGTGAAAATCATTTTGTCAGTTATATGCTCCACCGGACCAATATTCACAAGCACTTGTTACAGGGTTTCATGATGTGTGAAATTATTTCTGGTTAATTTCCTTCGATATGTGGTACAAAATGAAAAGATTTATTATTAGACCTTAATGCCTCAACACATCCTCATGGTTTCAGAGCTCATTTATTGGATGAGAATTGTTTTGTTGTGTTAAATTTCACAACAGGCATAAACATAAAAATGGGATAACGCCAATAATACATTAAGGCACAGATATATGTGCCATTTTGTCTCAAGATTGATACCGGTAGTTAAACAAACATTTCAGGCCCAGTCTGACCAAATTTTAAAGTATTTTCGAGATATTTCGAGAATTAATGTCTACCTGGTCGTTTAGTCAAAATCCTGTGTGAAAAAATGGAATGCACAGTGATAGGGCAGGATACATGTTTAATTTAACTCCTATGTTAGAAACATCCAGAAACTTTTGCGATGAATATATACATCAATATTGTGAAATTTGAGTACTTAGACATACCGGTAGTCATTTTATGTTGTTATCTGTCATGAAAATGTCTTCAATGTATTGTGTTGCCAAGGTGGTATCTAATTTTAATTCAAAAGTAGCAAAATGTTGTTAGTCCTTTTGTTCCAACATTGTATAACTGTCTACTATGTCACATGTTGTTATTCCACTGCACATATTTTTGCTAGTTTTATTGATAAGTTGGGTAATATCATCACTTTTAACTCTGTTTGGTTTTCTAAATATTTAAATACTTTATGTAGGGTTTGTGTGTAGCATATCGTAAACTCATTAGAAAGAATCTAAAAAGTTGACATCAATGCATGAGTTTTATCACAGTAATAATTTAAATATGATCATATTTCTTTCGGTAGTTCAAACTTTTGATAGAATGAATTCTAGTTATCTCCCGTTATGTAGCAAATCTATTTGTTAAACTAAAATATTTAAAATTATACCAGATATGCATATATTGCTGCTTGTCATGAAAATTATCAAATGGGTTATATATTCATAATCGATTTTGCAATTGACAGCCTTAAAAATGTTTTTTTTGCTATTATTTGTAGTATTGTGTCCATCCAGTATGTTATACATGAGATTTGTTTATAATCTCACATAGGGTATATGTTAGGTAGGTGAATTTTATAGAAGTTTCAGTATAACTCTTTATTAAAATTATTTCAAGTAAAAGTTTTGGTTAGGTATTAGGCCACTCATTTTGGCGTGGGGTGCTATGTCAATGCCGAAATGTTAACATGATTTCATTGCCAGCTATGTTAGGTTTTGAATTGCATATGTTTTAATATTTATGTTGCAAATATATAAATTCAAACGTATCTCGATTGTGGTCAATGCGCGCTAGGGTGATCAATCTGCAATCACAGGCTCTTCCTAATTTTTTTTTATTTCTTCCTGTACATAAGGAGACCAAAAATTGCTGGCCTGGTTGTCCTAAAATAAACACAGTTATGTGTACGATTGTTGCGATACACTTGAACTTACAGTTGTCATCTACGATACGGATTACGGAATAATATACCACGCCTCCCTTGCTGGGAAAAGGCTGTGAATCCATGAATGATACTATTTGCAAAAAAGAGAATAATTGGCTTTTGAAAATTGTCGATATGCCGACAGTTCACCAATGAAGGCACTATTAGTCAATATGACTAATTAATTAAATAGGTTATATTCTACATATATTCTTATGACTCGTCGGCTTTATTACTAATTAAATATGATTCGCAAGTTCTTCCGAAGATATAATCAGTCACACACACACATAAACGGATTAAAAATGAATCTGACTTTTGCTGCGCAGACTTGCCCCGTGATCCATATTTCGGGCTGCGTGCTAGAATCGACTAAATCCAGTGACAAAATCCTTTCACATGCCAACCAAAATTTGCGACAAAAAGATTTTATTGCTTTTCTTATGCTATATGAGTGAGACCCGGCGCCTGTTGCTGCATTACCGCGGACAGAGATTTTACATTCAGATTTATATTTTGTAACCTGTTAGACACACGAACTACCGAGTTCCAACAGATATTAATCACTGTTGAAACTTCATTGATCTGAAGAGGAAGGATAACGTTTCCGAGGCCTCCCTCGCGTGCCGATGTGTCAAGTTTGACACGCGCGCCAGGGGTTACCCACCCCTGGGCTCTAGTGAGTCTACCAACCAATAATAAGAATGGCATCAATTAGAACTCTTTTAAAAGCTCCTAAGAACATAATATAACACTGTATGTTGCTAAAGTTTTATTAATATACCATAATATTTGACAGTTTATCGTAACGTTAATTCCAAGATTCCGGCGTGTCGTCTGATGAGTGCTCATCTCTATTGGCTTCTGTTGCAGTTAATAAAGATTATCTGAAAAATTAAAAATTCCATTATCCTTACCATTCCCACAAGAAGTTTGTATTTTAAGCAATTTGAGTGATGAAACTTACGTTTGTTACTAAAACATTGTTTGCGATAGTCAGAGCAACAATTGTACTCTTTCTCGCACCCATAGTGACATTGACATGTGTATTCGAAGTAGTCATCTTTTTTTCCACAACGTCCATAGCAGGAATCGTTACGAATTATTTCTAAAGTACAATAATATGATGTTATGAGCACGAACTTTTGGCTGCAGGATTTGTTTGTAGATATTTTAGCATCATGAACCTGATGCTGGGGACCGAGAGCCAACAACCGCGAAAAAGAAAAGCTTCTCGCTTATTCGAAATTTAGAATTCGCAAAACAGTCTGGATGTGAAGGACGCAATGTGGGTGTAACTGAGTTGCATAATTCCAAATTTCAAGCGTTTTGTTGCGGCTGAATAACTACATAATAATAATAAATTGTATTGCTTGAAGTTTTGTTTAGTTTCTAAACCGGATGACAGTGGAAAAAAGTTGCGGAACCTTGATGAAACGTGGAACCTAAAACTATGTGTAACAAGAGTCTTATCATTGGCCATTTCGAGAGCACTCAACAGCGAACCAACCGCTGATATTTACTTAATGAATATACCTTTGCAAGTTGGGACGTGGCTCCATTCCCCATTGCCTAAGCATTGAACTTCATCCTCTCCATCCAAAACATAGCCATCATTGCAGAAATATTCAATATATTCTCTTGCCAAGTAGAAATCTTTTTCATCTTCAACTCCACCATTTTCTATCTCAGGTGTATAGCACTTTCGAACTAGGACATATATATATACATATGACAACTCACATATAATAGAAGTTTGTGGTAAAAATGAGGTATGGTGATTTTTTTATCAAAAACAATATTACAATTTGTGTATTACATCTATCCACGTTCTTCAATAAATCGGAAGAACCTCATAAATAGAGCCAGTAAGTATAATTACATCTGTACAATATATAGGGGAGATGCGGGAGAGATGAGCCATTTTTTATATATTTAGTTATATTTCCGCAATCGTTCGTAGCAATTTGAAGACACTCATTTCATCCGAAGGTCATTACCTCTGCTATATTACAGTTATGTCTCTTTTAATCCAACCGACCCTGTTTCTGAGTTATACCAGTTTTAAAAAGGGATGTCAGATGTCACAAGTCTCCTGCATGTTGAGGAGAGTTGTGCATACCATTGATGAGAGTTGAGCCGCTACATGCAGAATGACACGGGAAGTAGCGTTTAAGTTGCAATCGGGAGAGTATCTTTCACAAATGTGAGATGCAAATACTTCTGTATCGGAACAGTGAGGCAACTGGGCAAATTTAACTTAGCTAATCTTAAATAGGAGTCAATGCATCTATAATCTTATTTATTTTTGTCAGTCAATACAGAATGGAAACGAATTATACCACCGAAGCCTTCTTATTACACCTTGGTAGCACATAGAAATCGAAAAGAAACGTTTATTCATAAGTTGAAATAGGGTGTGACAGAGTATGTGAAAATCAAAGATTCCATTTATCGAGGTCACAAGAAAACGTGAACTGGGTGCGACGTGAAGTTCCAATAATGCTAGGGATTGGTAACTTTCTTGCAATGTCTTTCTTCGACCAAAGTGCTTCATCTTCGACATCCAGAATAAAAGTAGTTCGGTCATTTACGCTTAAAACCCGGCGGAGAAACACTCCTTCGAACTCTTCTCCTTCGAAAGCATCAACTCTTGCGACGTAGTGAACAATTCGAGATTTTCCACTAATCTTGACTATGACAAAATCGCCCTCGATAATATTTTGATCTTCCTCCTCTGAGTCATCAGTATCGTCGCACATTACATTCTCGTTAGAATGTTAGATTCACTTTCACTCGAAGAAGTGCTACATCCGGATGGTGCTACCCTCACTCTAACTGTTTTCTTGTTTGCAAAGAGCATTTTTTTAGCCCGACCGAAGTTCTTTGCTCTATTTTTTTCTATCCTAGCCACTGATTTCGCTGCTATTTCATCTCTAACTGGCGTGTCTGTCAAAATTTTCGTGCTACCTTTTTTCCTATTAGAAGTTTTCACCTTCCTTGGCCCTGCTTTCGGTAAAGGTAGTATATCACTTGGAGACACATAAGGAGTCTCCGCGTTGGTAGTCTGCACTGCTCTAGTCAAACCAGTATTGCTCTCAACGCCAGTTTCTGATTGAATTGTGTTATCTTTTTGGTGTGTGGGAGTATAGGGATTTCTCTGTAAACCTGACACGCTTTCAACATTGTCTACTGCCGAGCAAACGTGATTTTCACGATCTGTAACTGAAGATGGCGCATAGTCTTCATCTGAGAATACGTCGCTGTTGAAAGGCATAATACCAGTGCTGTGGAAGCCAGCTAGGATATTACGCGGTACAAATGCGCAGATGTGAGCTTCGTTCACCAAATGAGCTATATCGTATATAGACACAGTCTTACCCGGATTGGACCTCATCCAATTATCCATCGCGCGCGCGTAGGCTCTTTTGTATGGTCCATAAACAGTCTTGTCTAAAGGCTGGAGTTTGTGGGACGTGTGTGGAGGGATGGTCAACACCACAACTCCGTTTGCCTTTGCCTTGTCAACAGCTGTCAGTGAAACGTGGGCCTCGTGATTGTCTAAGATGAGCAATACCTTTCTGTCGGGTATACAGCGTGTATGCTTAATGAAGTGATCGAGATAGTTGACAAACGTTTCCTCGTTAATCCAACCTGATCTGGCGGCCGCACCGTCAGATCCCAGTGGCGCACCTCGTATGAAATAATTACGATAATTGACACGGGGAAATATCATGTAGGGCGGAATAAATCCACCAGCAGCGTTGATCGCATTGACTACGGTTACCAGCTCACCTCTTTCACCTGATGTGACAGAACCAATCTGCCCAACCCCTTTTTCCGTAACAATGCTCTCAGGCTTTTGCACCGTATGGCACCCTGTTTCGTCGATGTTATATACGTCTTGTGCCTCGAATTTGTGTTGGTCCATTACTTTGGCAAGGTTTTTGTAGAACTGTCCCACTGTATGGCGATTAAACGCCGTTGCTCTGGCTAATGAAGTAGCTTCTGGACTTCGAATAGCAAGGTTATTGCGTGCTTTCAATCCAAGCCAAAACCCTTGACCAGCTTTTTTGTTGATTTTCCAATTTTCTGGCACATCAACACCGTTTCTTTCTGCAAACTCATACGCCAAACATCGGCATTTATCTTTGGATAGGCCATGGTAGTTTGCTGCAAGTGTTTTGATGTGACTAGCTAGTTCAGCTTCCATTTCAGGACTGAATAGCTTGCAATTCTTGTATCCGCTTGTACCAAGCGGGTCATGTTTTTGTTTATCCATGTATCGCTTAAGCGTCATCCGGTCCACATCATATGTTCTCGCTGCCGATCTAATACTGCATCCCTCTTTTACCGCTTCTGCCGCCCTTTTGACTAATGCCGGATCACTTCCACGGGTTGATTTTCTTTTGTATGTTTGCGGCATCGTCTGATAAAGAAAAAATGTGATGAAAAATATATCCAATGCAGGAGCGTTGAGCCACGGAGCAACCCTCCTGGTGACCGCTGGATCAACCCTCCCATGATCGGCCATCTTCCCATTTGAGCTCCGCTACTGCCGAATGACTACTCGACGTGCGCTGCAATAGACTCCATTAGAGCATCACAACATAGACTACACAATGACTTAATGTGACTAAACCACGACCTGTAATATTATTAATAGTAAACATATTACCTGAGACCATGAAATTCACTTTTTGCTGCGATTCCGGCTTTTACATTAACTGTTTTCCACCAGAGCTACAGAACGTCTGCTTCTCACAGCCAAATATAAAGTAATGACACAACCTACCAACAGAGGGCGCGCGAGCATTCTATTACTAATGCATGTTGCTAATTTTGGGGGTGGAACAAGTCTCCTCGTGGCTCAAGTCACCCGCATCTCCTCTACTGTTTCGACAACCACATTTTTATTATTAGCGGTTTTGATTTGTGTGTTGCGCTTAATCAGTATTGCGCACAACAGTTTTACCTCAAAATGTTTGAAAAATAGCAAACTGTCAATCCACGAATGGTTTTTCAACCAAACCAAACCAAAATTCAGCGATTTTTTCAGTTGCTTTCTCCATTCTCTGAAACTCTCTCCATTTCAGACATCGCCAAATCCGGCTATTATTTTTCGGAGTTAATATCTGCAATTGCTACACTACAAAAAATAATATTTAGCACTTAGTGCAACACAAAATTACTGTAACTACAACTCGCGATTGAGTTTACTTTTACATTCGCCTATTAATTTTGTAAGCGCATTCTACATCGTAATTTAATTCAGATTGCTTAATTATTTTATTCAGGTTTCTTAGAAAAATTAATACCCAATATCATCCATAAAAAAATAGATATTTGAAGAGGAGAATACTAAGGATATCGGTTTTGTCATTACATTCCAATATTCATTTAGTTCAAAGTTTCCCAACCAGGAAGGAATTCCTCCCCAAGACGACTTTTGATGTTCTTGGGAGGAAATACAAATTGTATTTAGCGTAGTTTCACAATCATGGTTTAGTTATTTAGCATTATAGTAATACGTGTTTATTGATAAATTATCAACTATTCAAACTGCACAAAAGCCATAGTGCAAATTATGTGTAGCACTAGTTACGGACTTTGAAGATTGAACAGGTATTAGAAACCGAGTTTTTTATGCATATTGGGGAATAGACAAAGGAAGAATTCATCGTAAAAGATTAGGAACTACTTATTTGATTGCATACAAAACGATAAATATAGTAAGATGTTTTGGTTGCTTTTACCGGTAAATTATTGATAAATTATCAACTATTCGAACTGCACAAAAGCCATAAAGCCATAGTGCAAATTAAGTGTAGCACTAGTTACGGACTTTAAAGATTGAACAGGTATTAGAAACAGAGTTTTTTATGCATATTGGGGAATAGACAAAGGAATAATTCATTGTAAAAGATTAGGAACTACTTATTTAATTGCATACAAAACGACAAATATAGTAAGATGTTTTGGTTGCTTTAACCGGTAAGCAAACACAATAAAATGATGACTATATCATTTTTTTTGTTCAAACAAGCAGGCAGCATTTGGCTGCAAAATATGGAAACAAAGAAGTTGTGAAGTTGTGCTGTTTTATTTTATCTGATTAATTTTTAAACGAATATTTGAGAGTCAGAATAACGTGGGCCTACCCACAACATAAGTGAAGTCCCTTAGAATTAGAGACACAAACTGTCAAGTAGGGGGCATCTAATAAGCGATAAGCAATTGATTAGAGATCAATTAAATTCATTGGTAATGTTCATCGTACAAGAGCTCTACAATTATTATTGAAAAAAATAGCAATTTACCGTAAGAAAATTTGCTCGTACACTAACTCAGAAGTAAAGGATACTGGTCTCTGAGCAAAGTTACAGACACCCAAAGACGTGCCAATCGCTACCGAGACTATAAATATTCATGGCGGTGAAGTAGTTAATATCGATTAGTTCTTTCGAATTTGGACCATTTCATTTTCATGTTTATCTTGTGAACAAGCGCTTTCTATATAAACGAAACTTCGGCTTGCAGGTTGTCGGATTCCAAAGATCTCGTATGGGTATTGTGAACCTGTTATGGTTGATTACATGCCAAGGAGTTACATCCCATATGGAACAGTTGTAAAATGCCAGTGTGAACCCGGTTATGATTGGAATGCCAAATCAAATTCATACGAGTGTAATCCTTACGGATGGCAACCAAGCCCATTTGGAGAATGCGTAAAACGTGAGTGTATTTACAAATTTTTGAGTGAGTGTACAAATACAACGGGTGGATATAATATCGATTATGTTAAAATTTTGCGGTCGATGGCCGTATTGTGTTGGACTGTTGATTTATCGATATTTTGAAATTTGCTTAACAGAAACCGAATGCTATTCACCACCACAACCTTCAAAGGGTATACTCACCTGTTCAAAAATATTACTTGTCCAAACAGAGTTTTACTCATGAATGAAAATACGGTTATTATTTGAGCAAAATCGAATACAGTGCAAATATTAATGTACTAAAGCATAATTAGTCTGGTTATCTATTCCAATATATATTACATATTTCTGCATGATCTTTTACCTTCGAAGCAACAACCATAAGCTTAACTTCCATCATATTTGCATGTTTACTTTATTCACTTGATTCAACCAGCACGGCGCAAGCGACCATCTAAACCAAGCAAAGGCTCGTTTAAACCCTATCAGGATAACTATTCACCTGAATGCCAAAGTAAGAATGGAGAATTCCAGTAGTAGAACATCTGAATTTTAACCTCAATGCTCAAACACCTTCTTACATAAATCATAATAACTATCTTCATTGCTTATTGCAAGATTTGAAAAATCGAAAAAAACTAATTCTTTTTTTGCAGTAACATGTCCTTACAGGGAACCACCTGAAAACGGTGACGTGACTCCATCCCAAAAACGATATTCCGTGAATCAAAATATCGAATTCACCTGCCTACCCGGGTATAGTCTCAGTGGTAACTCAGAGGACAAGTGCAAATCGAATGGGAAATGGGCGGTCAACAAACCTGTATATTGCCTAAAACAATGCAAAGTGGAAAATTTGGCGCCATACGTCACCTATAGTCCTGAAGCTAAATACCACGATCAAGGAACAGAAATATACTTCAAGTGTGATAAAAGTCACTACCACCTAGTCGGAGAGGGAAAATCTAAATGTTCAGAAGGCGGAATTTGGGATACAGATTTTCCAATTTGCGGTAAGAAATGCAAAGTTTCGGGGTAACATAATATATCATTTCACGAAACTAATCTATGTATATTGTACAGATGTAATAACATCTACTGGCTTTATTTATGGTGTTCTTCCGAAGTATTAAAGAACGTGGGTAGATTGCATTACATGTAATACACAAATTTTAAATATTTTTTAGATAAAAAATCACCATACCTCATTTTTTCTACAAACGTCTATTACATGTGAGTTGTTTCTTTATTTGATCCTATATATATATGTTCTAGTTCGAAAGTGCTATACACCTGAGATCCTAAACGGGGGAGTTGAAGATGAAAAAGATTTCTACTTGGCAAGAGAATATATTGAATATTTCTGCAATGATGGCTATGTTCTGGATGGAGAGGATGAAGGTCAATGCTTAGGCAATGGGGAATGGAGCCACGTCCCAACTTGCAAAGGTATATTCATTAAGTGAATATCAACAGTTGGTTTGCTGTTGCGTGCTCTCGAAATGGCCAATGATAAGACTCTTGTTACACATCGTTTTAGGTTTCACGTTTCATCAATGGTCGGCAACTTTTTCCCACTGTAATCCGGTTTACAAATTACACAAAACTTCAGCAATACAGTTTATTATTATTGTATAGTCATTCAACGCAACAAAACGTTCAAATTTGAAATTATGCAACTCAGTTACATCTCATCTGTTCAAAAATACTAGTTGTTCAAACAGAGCTTTACTTATGAATGAAAATACGGTTATTGTTTGAGCAAAATCGAATACAGTGCAAATATTAATGTACTTAAGCATAATTAGTCTGGTTATCTATTTCAATACCTAATACATAATTCTGCATGATCTGTTACCTTCGAAGCAACAACCATAAGCATAACTTCCATCAGATCTGCATGTTGACTTTATACACTTGATTCAACCAGCACGGTGCAAGCGACCATCTAAACCAAGCAAAGGCTCGTTTAAACCCTATCAGGATCACTATTCACCTGAATGCCAAAGTAAGAATGGAGAATTCCAATGGTTGAATATCTGAATTTTACCCTCAATGCTAAAACATCTTCTTACACAATTCACAATACCTATCTTCATCGCTTATTGCAAGTTTGAAAACTCGAACAAAACTGCTAACTAATTCTTTTTTTTGCAGGAAAATGTCCCTACAGGGAACCACCAGAAAACGGTGAGGTGACTCCATCCCAAAAACGATACTCTGTACATCAAGAAATCGAATTCACCTGCCTACCCGGGTATAGTCTCAGTGGTAACTCAAAGGACAAGTGCAAATCAAATGGAAGATGGGTGGTCAACAAACCTGTATATTGCCTAAAACAATGCAAAGTGGGTAATTTGGCGCCATACGTCACTTATAGTCCTGAAGCTAAATACCACGATCAAGGAACAAAAATATACTTCAAGTGTGATAAAAGTCACTACCACCTAGTCGGAGAGGGAAAATCTAAATGTTCAGAAGGCGGAAGTTGGGATACAGATTTTCCAATTTGCGGTGAGAAATGCAAAGTTTCGAAGTTTCATTTCATGAAACTAATATATGTATAGGGGAGATGCGGGTGACTTGAGCCACGAGGAGACTTGTTCCACCCCCAAAATTAGCAACATGCATTAGTAATAGAATGCTCGCGCGCCCTCTGTTGGTAGGTTGTGTCATTACTTTATATTTGGCTGTGAGAAGCAGACGTTCTGTAGCTCTGGTGGAAAACAGTTAATGAAAAAGCCGGAATCGCAGCAAAAAGTGAATTTCATGGTCTCAGGTAATATGTTTACTATTAATAATATTACAGGTCGTG